GCATGTGATCCATAGTGGTTTTTGCAATTTCAGGCATTGTTGGGGTACGTTGTCCATAAACTGACAGATGGAAGTTCTGGGTAGTCTTCAGCATGTTTAAGTTCTTGTTCTGTGGCTATATATCAATGTTTGCTAATACAGAAAACCATGGTGGATTTTACTGCCATCGCTCACTATCTGAGTCTTCTGTGGTGCATGGTATCATTTACAAAATTATGCTGTGATACTATTACTTCAAAATTGCTATTTATCCATCTTAACAATCATTGCCAAAAGCACAAATGGGCCAAATTCTACCCTTAGATCCTTACAAACAAAGCTTTGAAAGCTTACAAACAAAGCTCTGTCAAATTTTGTGATGCTGACAACATCTGAAGTTACATTTCATAATTCCACCTCTTGGACATCTGTGTTTGTGGATCAACCAAAAGAAGTAAGGTTGCACTAAAAGTTGGATTTGTTTCCAATCACCATGCTGTCTCGTGAAACATCCAGATCTGGAGGCAATTTAGTGAGCAGAAATTGCTGCCCATCCTCTGCTGGAATATTTTTGGCATAAACATCTGAAGAGCTATGTAGTTAACAGGGAGCTATCTGACTGCATGAGTTTTTACACATCTGCCAGCTAAATAAAAGATCCAAGGGCTAAATCTAGCATTCAGAGACATCATGTGGATTTGTGACACTTCATGGAAGACTGTGTCCAGATGGTGACAAACAGATTACACTTCTTCATACATACAGAGACTCTTATACAATATATTCCATAATCATCTTCTTCATTTTAAACAAATGTTTCAGAAATTCATTTGTTAGAGAACATGAATGAATGGAAATTTTTTATAGTAATGGTTCTCAAGCTGTGATCTATGGACTATGCTCATTCTTTCAAGTCCCTTGTGCTATGGGGCTCATGAAGGATTAGGAGATAGGGAGCAGAAATAGTCTAAAGCCCAGATCTTCAAAGGTATTTAGGTTCCTAACTTCTATTGGTTTCAGTGGGAGTTAGAAACCCAAGTATCTTTGAGGATCTGGGCTTGTAAGACGTTTCCTTACAAAATGGTCTTCAGATTGCAAAAATTGGAGAACCATTGTTTCATAGTGAAGGACATAAATCCATACCGTGTAGAGGTCAAGCACAGGAATTTATTACATACAGTACTGATGGAGTGTTACCTTGCTTATTAGGCTCAGAGACACTGTCAATCAATTGATTACAATGGAATATATGGATTTTCCATGGGCGGAGGAAAGTGACGGGGTAGGCAGTCCCATACCCCTGGATAGGTTTAGCTGCAAGACATGATAGCACAGTAGCCAATGGTCAAAAGGTTACATAATGTCTCCACCCATGGTCTCAAGGTAACAAATTAACATTTAGCATTTAATTAGTACTTTAATAAATGTATTAGTATAAAATATATGTTGAATTCTGATTTGGGGTCCATAGGAATGAAGTAGCTCCTTTGATTGTTCAACAGATACATATCTAGGGGTAAAGCAAAGAAACGGTGAAAGTATATGGCAATAAAGATTGTCTTTCAAGTTGCTTATTTGTGTTTTAAGGCAGGAATTGGTCCCTGGGAAAGGGAGGTGGGAGGAGGCCATATCTTATACTGATATGCTTGAACCTTTCATAAACTCAAGGTTGGATGTGTGGGAAGAACATCTCCCTACAGAAGAAACTAACACAACAGAAACAGGGCTTCTTTGTTCTATTTGCAACTTTGAATAAGACACAATTATTGCCCCCAACGTCTGGCGTTTTGCTGACAACGCATATTTTAGCAAAAGCAAGGTTATCTTTGGTTATTCTGCTTTCTCTTAGCTAATTCCTATTTGCTAGGCCTCTGAACTCTCGACCAAACTCTGGACTTTGGGCCTGTACACAAATCCATATACCAGGTTATTACATCAGCAATGGATTTTAACCCTTCACACAGTAAATATACTATACTATATAATGGTTAGTACTATTGCATTGCTTCAGTATTCTGGGATTCCAATATAAATAAATAGGATAAGAAATAGGAATCATTTATAATTCTGACATCTATCCTGCATGCATACCCCATTTTAAATAACAAAATTAATTGTTTTTTAATAGTCAAGAAATATTACAAAGAAATTATAAGCCCACTTACAACTATTGCCTCTCCAATTTATACATTTCTAAATTCAGAACTCTTGAGTAGATTCCATACAATTATATCAGTATAGAAGATACAGTGCATGGTCTTCCATACCCTCCAGCCCAAAATGGAAATTGTCATGAGAATTTAAATTGAAAACCCCTCATAATTTTTTGTTGGTTTTCAATAACTCAAAAAAAAAAAAAAAAAAAAAAAGAGCTTGTTTTAGGGGTTTTGTGTTTTCAGTGAAAACCCAAAATTTCCATGGAAAATTCCAATGAAAATAATTTTCCACCAACAAAAATCAAAATAGCTGTTTCAATCAGTTCTACAGTTCAAGTGATGTCTGTGGCTACTAATTTCCATGATATTTATGCTTATATAAATAAAAGGATATGAGGCCATCACAAGCACAGCCACAAATTTCTCCATGAGAAAAACAAATATTAGAACAGAATTTTGATAAAGCTGGCAACTTTTTTCAGTGCACAGAGCTCATTTCTTGCAAAATCCTTAAAGGCTACTATATCATCCAGAAAGAAAAGGAGGACTTGTGGCACCTTAGAGACTAACCAATTTATTTGAGCATGAGCTTTCGTGAGCTACAGCTCACTTTGCTTATGCTCAAATAAATTGGTTAGTCTCTAAGGTGCCACAAGTCCTCCTTTTCTTTTTGCGAATACAGACTAACACGGCTGTTACTCTGAAATATATCATCCAGGGCAGCAGTTCTCAACCATTTTTCGTTTGCGGACCCCTAAAAAATTTCAAATGGAGATGCGGACCCCTTTGGAAATCTATTGTCTATATATATAGTTGAATTCTGTTCAGTCAGTTTTCAGTGTAAGTCTTTCACAGACAGAGTCCATGGACCCTGCAGGGATCCAAGGATCATAGGTTGAGAACCACTGATCCAGGCCTCTTCCTTCTTAGTTTCCTGATGACTTGATATTACTCCCCACCCCCTCTTCCCCCTATGGAAGCTTCAGTGCATTCAGAGACCCAGAAGAGGTGAGTTATCAAGCATATTTCTTTCAATTTTGCTAATCAAGAAATCCTGCCTTTGACCCCTTCCACAATATGTTTTAAGAAAATCCTTCCTCTTCTACCTCACTTGGCCCAGATCCAGAAGGAACAAGATGGTATTTCCACATGAAGGTTTTTCCCATGGTTCTAACTATTGCTATTAGGAGTATTATTTGTTGTTTGTTTTATTGTGGTTGTGTCCAGAGACCCCAGTCTGGATCAGGACTCACTGATGTAGGAAGATGCGGTCCCTGACCCATTGAGCTTACAAACTAAATAGACTAGTGTAGCAGGGTGCTGGTGCAAAAGCATCTAATTAGCCCCTGCCCAGTCAGCTCCAATCAAGGGAAACAGATTGGGACTGATGGAAAAGGCCTGGTGTTGGCCTGAGGATTGGCAACACCTGCTGGCCTGACAAGCCAAGGGCTATAAAGGCTGGGAGGGAGCCAGAAGGCTAGGGGTGAGGACAGCCAGGGAGCAGTAGGTCAGGGAACTGGAGGTCTCCTAGCTGAAGGCTGGCTCTGTCTGGAAAGGAGGAGATTAATCCTGTAAAACTTGTACTTAGAGGGACACCGGTAGTGGGATGAAGTTAAGTTAATAAAGACACGGGTGTTGCACAACCATGAAGCCTCTTTGAGCCTTATTGGGGAGGGCAAGCGGGCCCCAGAAGAGGGGCGGGTCGTGGACCCTGTTACAACAAGATAAAAAACAAACTAGGAAAAATGTCTGTAGTGATGTTAGGCACACATCTTGGTGGCTACTTCCCACACAACCAAAACAGAACATCTCCCCTTCTTCCTCACCTAGCCAGCTGACCCAACTAACATACTCTACCATGGCTGTCCCAAAGTATTCTCCTTTCACCCTGCCTACCCCATAGCATAGAGTCAGGGCTGTAAAAATCAGTTAATTAGAAGATGCTTGTGTAGGGAGTTACTGAAAGTGTTTTAAGGCAGTCCTGGTCCTCAGTGCTCTCTCTTCTGTGTGAATGAAGAGGTGCTGTGGCCCTGGCAGGGGCTTGGATGAGGCATGGATTCTTTCTCCAAATATTTTTGCGATGACATAGTCTACAGGCCAAATGTAGAAGTGCTGTGTATGAAACACATTGGTAAATGAATGTAAGGTTTGAATTTGTTTAAGAGTGTATATGAGTGGTTCTTTAAACAGGAGGAACTTGAAGAGGGTGTGAGGAGAGTTAAGGGGTCTATTTGTCTTGTAACTCCTTAGTGTATAAAGTCGCTAGTATAGACACCTGAAGATTCATCTCTGCTTTTGGTCCTGTGCCTCAGGGCCTGAAAGGGTGAATGAATGTTTACATTTGGGCTCAGGGAGTGTAATCTTCCATTTTATAGGGCTTTTGTGCACTTTTTTTGCATGCAGATGGTCATCTTTAATGCCCAGCTCCAAAAGTCTTGTAATCAAGTTTCCATGACGACAAAAGAACCACTAGAGTTTAGCAGGGTTTCTTTTCACCAGTCTATCACTGTCAGATCTTATTTGGCTTTCCAGAAACTCTTTATATTTCAACAAGACCATGTTACTAGTGGCTTTGCTCTATCATAGTTTATTCTAATGTAATTATCTCTGGCAGCCTGCTGCTCTGAGATTTCTTTGAGTTCTTCCAAACGTGTGAGTTTCTGTGAAATTCCTTTTGCTGTTTCCTCCACCAAGGGGAGTATGATCTGTCAGTCACCCTGTCTAGTCATTTATTTCTTTGATTGTCAAATGTTCTGCATGCTCGCAGTCTAGCTGTGCAGGCAGTGTGTGATGGGTAAGTGCTTGTGGCATGGAGTCACAAGTATGTAAGAAGTGACATCTTATCTTTGTTTTGTTTCTTCTCAGTTGGCACCACAAGCTGCTCTAGAGGCCAAGACACTTGCAGCTCAACAGCAGCTTCTGATTCTGGGTCCACAAAAGGTACAGTGGGAGGATTTTTCCATTCTTAGCAATGCGAACAACATCCTTTGCTGCTGCTTCTATCTCCATCCTACATCCAGACTCAGAAGTATGTTTATTTCTCAAACATGCCAATTAGATTTACCAGGCTCATTTCCATTATGTGCTGTAAAGAAATGACCAGGCAGTCTTTGCTCAAGTTAAATAGCTCAGAATGAAGACACAAAAACGTGTAAGGAGAAACACATACAAAATCTTATGTTTAAGTTAAACACTGATAGGCCAAAATGCAGGTCTGGAAACTCTGCCACCAGCCAGATCTGCACGTTTTAATCTTCAAAAATACAAAGGCAAAATTTGGGGACTCTAATTTTTCAAGGCTCTAACACCATACTGAGGTCCAGCAACATTTTTTAGCAATGTCTTGATGAACTATCATAATAGTCCTTATTTTGCCAATTGTTAAGCATTTTTTATAATTTCATTGGTTTTACAGTAGTGCCAATCAAGTGCCAAACACTTTCACACATCTAGGAAGACTGACTCCCTACCACGAAGAGCTCGTAATCTGGAAGTGGGCAAATACTGTAATCGCTGGTGACCATTTGTTTGAATTTGTGAACTAATTCACTTTGACTATGTTCACTTTTCCTTTCCTTGAACATTCTAGAAAATAAGACTGGGGATTACTGAAAGCAACATTCACTGAGACAGCAAGGTTTAAGTGAATATTTCAGAATGATTGTAGACAGTGAATTTCAAATTTTAAAACCTAAGGTCTGATGGTATACCAAGCTTCTGAACAGTATGCTTATGTGACAAATCAGCTTGAATAAGGCTCACATTAAACAGTTTCAGAAATCTACAGGCTAAAATATGTTTACAAAAGACATTACTTGAATAACTTTTAATAAAAAATCATGTAAATCATGATTTGTTGGTGGATAATTTGCCAACAGGAAAAAGGCAAAATTCAGTGAATAATTTGTTTACTGTGAATAGTCTGCCCAGGTCTAATCTTTAACAAATGGGAACTTACTGTCAGAATTTAGAACTCTAGTCAATCCAGGTTAAGGGCCTTTTACTTACAACTGATGATCACTCCATTTTTTGCTAATATATAATCTTCCTTTCCTTTTCAAATTTTAGGAACAAGAAGTTACAGTGAAATTACAGACTCACCTAAGTACACATTACCCTGTGAGCACATTTTTTATATGGGTTGAGTGATAATACAAAGCTTCACAAAACTAAATTTAATGCTCAAGAAAGCTGCTGCATTGACTATTCTGCAAACTGAAGTTCTCAATTCATCCTTAATTCTTTTATGGCAAGAAGCCTTATTGAGGGCTCAGGAACAAACCATCCCGAAGTGCAGAAAGAATAGCAAATATGGCAGGCGACGAGCTTGGCTTAACAGTGAAATCTCTGGCGAGCTTAAACTCAAAAAGGAAGCTTACAAGAAGTGGAAATTTGGACAGATGACTAGGGAGGAGTATAAAGATATTGCTAGAGCATGCAGAGGTATAATCAGGAAGGCCAAGGCACAATTGGAGTTGCAGCTAGTAAGGGATGTGAAGGGTAACAAGAAGGGTTTCTACACATATGTTATCAACAAGAAGAAGGTCAGGGAAAGTGTGGGACCCTTACTGATTGGGGAAGGCAACATAGTGACAGATGATGTGGAAAAAGCTGAAGTACTGAATGCTCCCAGACTGCTGCACTGGACAACACAGTATGGGGAGGATGTGACCACCCCTCAGTGGTAAAAGAACAGGTTAAGGACTATTTATAAAAGCTGGACATGCACAAGTCCATCGGGCCAGATGCTCTGCATCCAAGGGTGCTGAGGGAGTTGGCTGATGTGATTGCAGAGTCATTGGCCATTGTCTTCGAAAATTCATGGTGATCTGGGGAGGTCCTAGATGATTGGAGAAGGCCAATATAGTGCCCATATTTTAAAAAGGGAAGAAAGAGAACCCGGGGAACTACAGACCGGTCAACCTTACTTCAGTCCCTGGCAAAATCATGGAACAGGTCCTCAAGGAATCCATTTTGAAGCACTTGGAGGAGAGGAAGCTGACCAGGAACAGTCAACATGGATTCACAAAGGCCAAGTCATGCCTGACCAACCTGATTGCCTTTATGATGAGATAACTGGCTCTGTGGATATGGAGAAAGTGGTGGATGTGATATATCTTGACTTTAGCAAAGATTTTGATATGGTCTCCCACAGTATTCTTGCCAGCAAGTTAAAGAAGTATGGATTAGATGAATAGACTATAAGGTGAAGAGAAAACTAGCTAGATTGCGGGCTCAACGGGTAGTGATCAACTGCTCGATGTCTAGTTGGCAGCCAGTATCAAGCGGAGTGCCCCAAGGATCGGGCCTGGGGCTGGTTTTGTTCAACATCTTTATTAATGATCTGGATTATAGGATGAATTGTACCCTCAGCAAGTTTGCAGATGACACTAAGCTGTGGGGAGAGGTAGATACTCTGGAGGGTAGGGATAGGGTCCAGAGTGACCTAAACAAATTGGAGGATTGGGCCAAAAGAAATCTGATGAGGTTCAACAAGGACAAGTGCAGAGTCCTGCACTTAGGAAGGAAGAATCCCATGCACAGCTAAAGGCTGGAGACTGACTGGCTAAACAGCAGTTCTTCAGAAAAGGACATGGAGATTACAGTGGATGAGAAGCTGGGTATGAGTCAGCAGTGTGCCCTTGTTGCCAAGAAGGCTAACGGCATTTTGGTCTGTATAAGTAGGAGTATTGCCAACGGATTGAGGGAAGTGATTATTCCACTCTATTCAGCACTGGTGAGGCCACACCTGGAGTATTGCTTCCAGTTTTGGGCCCCCCACTACAGAAAGGATGTGGACAAATTGGAGAGAGTCCAGCAGAGGGCAATGAAAATGATTAGGGGGCTGGGGCACATGACTTACGAGGAGAGGCTGAGGGAACTGGGCTTGTTTAGTCTGAAGAAGAGAAGAGTGAGGGGAGATTTGATAGCAGCTTTCAACTACCTGAAGGGGGTTCCAGGCTGTTCTCAGTGGTGGCAGATGGCAGAACAAGGAACAATGGTCTCAAGTTGCAGTAAGGGAGGTCTAGGTTGGATATTAGGAAACACTATTTCACTAGGAGGGTGGTGAAGCAGTGGAATGGGTTAGGGAGGTGGTGAAATCTCCATCCTTAGAGGTTTTTAAGGCCCGGCTTGACAAGGCCCTGGCTGGGATAATTTAGTTGGTGTTGGTCCTGCTTTGAGCAGGGGATTGGACTAGATGACCTCCTGAGGTCTCTTCCAACCCTAAAATTCTATGATTCTATTCTATGATTCTATGGAAAAACATTTACCACACTGTCCTGCCAATGTGCCTTAACTCTGATTTGAAGGGATTGCTACTTGGACTCTGTCTACTCTAGGGAAAAAATCCCACTGCGACTAACACCATTTCATTGTAGTGTCCACAGGCTTCAGTTTGCTAAAATGGTGGCCTGCCTATGCTAAGGAATGCAGCATTGGGAAATTTTGCAAAAGTCTGACGTGTAGACAGGACATAGGAGTGAGAAGAGAATTAAATTAATATGCTTATTTAGCCCTTGTTGTCTTTACTTTGACAACAAGTGTGCTAGTCAATGGCACTTGCACTGTGCCATTTGTGTGAAATTTACAAATCTCCAGTGGGAACTGCACTGGGATCACCAACTCTTAATCTAGGACTGTTAAATTGTCAGAGGGTTACAATTTTCCATCTCTATCAACCTGGGCTAGTTTCAAACTGGGTACTTGAAGGCACAATACTTCAGCGTTTATTATTTATCCTCTGAGTCAGCTGGGCACTTTGTGAAGACTTGAGACCTAACAGTACTGCCTGCAAGTGATATATTTTCATTAGTCCTGTTTTATTTAACAGCTGCCTCTGAAATTGTTGACCAACAGATGGTCTTAAATTCCTTGTAGGACTCCTGTGCTCTACTCTAGTCTCGTATCCTATATTTTTGATTTAAATAAGCAGTGCAGATTGTTCTTAATGTTCCTTTGACTTTGTTTAGTTTCAATTTTTTTCTGAGTCCTGCAAGAGGCCTTTAGTTTTTCAGTTTCTATATGTAGTCACTCTGTAACATTTTCAGTAAGCTATCACCGTTATGCCAATGATACACAGCTTTACCACTGGCTCCTTGCATAGGCTTTTGAATACAAACACATTGCCTTTATAAGAAATGTCTTTTGCATCTCAGCATCTTCCCAAACAAATATTATATTTTGCTCTCCATACTTGATCAGTTCTTTCCCTAATAAAGAATGTTTCATGTGATTAGAATTTGGGAGGTGCTTTACAGTCAAATCTGAGCACTGAAACTGGTTTTAATCAGACAGACAGGAAAACATGTCTCTATTCCCCTAGAATATTGGAAAGAAAAGATAGATATGAACCCTGTGATCAGCATCAGGCCTCAGCTTCTGATGAGTGGTGTAGGTGATACAACACATATTGTATTGCTGCCTGGGTGGGAGGAGATGAAACTACTGCCATTTAGAAAGCATCACTCAGCAAGGTATAAATGAAGTATGAAATAAAAACTCCCTACCCACTCAGTGCACAGACAGAAAACAGGATTTTACAGGCACTGCTGTGATATGCTGTTTGTTGTAATATTAACCTCACACAGAGTGCCCCAAGTTTTACAGTGTCAGGCAAAAAGGGAAAAGATTTCTTGTTAGGTTTCTCCTCCTAATTCCCTCTTTTCACCAAGCAGCAAAACCTGCTGCTTCATTTAGTAGCCCGTGATATTTGCCTAGGTAGAACAGAACAGGAGGTGAGCTGGAAAAATGGTAAGAGGATATTGTGCTAAGAGGAATTATGCACTTAGAACTTAGTAGGGCAATTTGGAGTGAATTTAAGTACTAAAAATAAATAAAAATTGAGAGAACACTGGATGTGACTGCTGACTCAGAAACATTTATTATCCTGTCTTTATTGAGTTGTAGCACAATCTGGTAATGTGGAAGGTGAGAACCATAGGTAGAAAATATGCAACCCACATTTTAAATTCATTAGCATTAGGGAGTCCTAATCTATGTTGTTAGGTATTTTATACAATACGTTAGCAATCCTTGGGTTGACCAAACGTTGTCAATCTCAGATTATGGCCCCATGTTTGCCCTTGTAGAATAAGATGAACAGATCTGCCACCCAGGTCCTTGTGGGAATCCTGCTCAATATTTGCAAGCCCTAAATTGGTCTCCTTGCAGCCTCCTTTTCATTTGGCTGGATATGTTCAGTCTTTGAACTAGATCCTAAGCTTCACTGAACTCAGTGGAGCCTGGCCAGTTTATACCAGGAGAAGATCTGTCCCCTTATCTATAAGACATACATACCCTCCTTCCCACACCTGTGCAACAAGTGTCAAGTTACTTAGTCTCTCAGCTCCTCAGTTCTTCCCCTGTAAAATGGGGAGATAATAGCACTTCTTAACCTCCTGACTGTTGTGAGGATAAATATATTAAACACCACAAAGGGCTCAGATACTGTGGTAATGGGGGCTGCATAAGTACCCAAGATAAATCCCAAATGAGGCCCGACAAGGGTCTTGTAGGGTTTTTCACATAGTTCCACCGTGTAACTACAGTGAATGTAACTAACCAATTTAACCAATGTAACTAACCAATTTACTCCAAACAAATTATGCTTAGCTGCTGAAGTGAGCAGTAGTAAGACTGAAGTAAGCTTACTTACTAACGTAGTAAGGCTGAAGTAAGATATGAAGCCTTCCTTACCTCTTGTGTTCCTGTGCAAGGGTCAGCCACAATTGCAATAAGCACAAGGATTGTATGGGACTAGCGTCCCTAACTTTGACACTGGTCAAAAAGCTAAGCAGACACAGTGAAGGAGAGCACACTGCATCATATTAAGGGATGTAGCATCAGCCATTAATCCTGCATGCCTGAGAGCTCTAGGAAGGCAGGATAGACTTCTGTGATGAGGCATAGAAACCCCACACTGAGTCAGGGAAGAGAGAGGTTAATGGAAACAGTTGCAGTCATCTCCATCCTGCAAGCCCTGTCAGAGGTGTCAGGCCTGTAGGGAAGGCTCTCTGTCATCTGGAAGGAATGAAAAAGAGGCAGCAGGTTTCAGAGAACTGGCTGCTCTTGCAGAGTGGAGGTCGGGAGGGAACTAAGCCAGAGACATGCTCTCCAGGCCTCCTTGAGGGAGAAGGAAGGCCTCATGCTGGCCCTCCACATAACATTTCTGTCTAAGTTTTCAGTGTGGGTTCAATGGTGCATTAGTCGTTTGGTGGTACACTGCAAAGTGTGAATACCACTCATTCTGAATAAACAACACAGACATGCAAACTTACATGTAGGGTAGGTCTACACTGGGAGCTGGGGGTGTGATTCCAGCTCCGGAAGACATATGTGCACTAGATCTCATCGAACCATAACATGTAGCATGAGCTGTAGGATGGGCGCTCCCCATGTATGTGCCTGTCAGAGACCCTAGGCATCTACTTGGGGGTGGCTAGCCTGTCTCACAGCTCATGCTGCTGAAGCTACACTCTCTTTAGCATGCTAGTTCGACAAGAGCTAGTGCACATATGTCTCCTTGAGCTGGGAATCACACCCCTAGCTCCAAGAGTAGACATATCTGTAACAGCTTGAAAATCTGGACCTGTATCTCTTCTCTGGTGGGTGGGACCATAAATACTTCACAGTATAACTTACTGTTCCATTTGTTGGGAGACTGAATGATGAATGTTTCAGCTAATTAGTAAGTTCTGAATAACAGAAAACTCCTTCATTGTGATAAACCGAGAGGGCAGTGGGAACAAGGTTTGAATTGTTGCAAATGAATGTCAGATATGGGAGCAGCGTATTAGGGGGTTAATAGACTTACTCTAATCAGATGATAGAAGGCAGTTTATATTGTTATTCCCTAGGACTAAATGTCTCTGAAGAGTTATTTACAAAATTCCAAATGTATCACCCCGCTATATGGGAAAAGCACAGAGGAGGCATTTAGAGTAATCATTTCTGCACTTATTTATAGAAATATTTTGGTCCAATATGTGTTTGGGTTGAATGTACATTTTTATATCAATTCTACGCTGTTCTTGCAAGGCTTAAAACTATAAATCATTTGCATGTAGATAAGTCCTTTGTGTCCTGCTGTCCTTATTTATAGACTGTAAATGCATGCTTACAAAACCAATAGATTCATATCCACCTACTTTAATTTATGGCGATTAAATTATTACAGACTTTGTCTTTGGAACTATTACATACCAAATTCGTTGCAAGTGTGGATTTTATTTTTTGATAGGGAAACAACTAGTGTAATCTTCTTGCATAGAAGAGTATAGACAGTGCCTAAGGTGGGAATCATTTTTTGTTTAGGATTTTTGATATTTATTATTGACTTGTGCTGTATCTTTATTTATTTATTTTTGATTAAAGCCATAAAATAGTAAAAGAGAAAATCCAAGAAGATTCTGGATCATTTAGATAAGTGAACTACCAGATAGCAAATGCAGTTCACTGTAGAGAAATGTTAAACAATTCAGCCGGGAGGAAGGATCTAGTCTAAGGAATACATACTAAATAAAGCAGTGATCTAGCATACTGATTAGGAAAGACATGGAAGAATTATAGAAAAATGACTGAAAACATGAATCCAGTGCATGCAGCAATAAGAATGTATTGTTTAACAATATATTATGGAGATGCCAGTAGCATCTCCATAGTTAAGGTTGGATTGTGATTTACACTTAAAACAGGATTAAAGTTCCTCAGTGTAACACTTTAATGATTGAAAATTTGGGATGATAATTCTGTTGAGGATTACTGAATTTTCCATGTTATTTTATTAGTAAAACACTCCTGAACTTTTGCAAACAGCATTTAACATGCTCACTAGTAGAGATTTTGCTCTCTTCTCTCCTGGATTCCTCTAGCTAAAAACACCACAGGCCTCAGACTCCAAGCTACATATATATATATACACATTTTGACATATGCCCATTTTAAAATGAAACAGAGTTTTCCCCATATCCAGGATCACCTAACAGAATAGTCAAGTGCTTACTCCTGGGTTTTTAGCTCTACCCGCCTGCCTCCCTGACCCACCTGCTCCATTCTTCACAGAGCAGGATGGCAGGCTGAATAGCAGAGGACACAGAGGTGGGCTCTAAGGCAGGAGTGGGGGAATGGGGACATACTGCATTGAGGAGCAAGTATTTCTCTTTCTGGGCTGATGTATTGATGCTGGAGAGTGTGCTGACCAGTCAAAGCAGCATTGCTGGGGATCCTTTTAAGCGCTAGTGCCTTGGCACAGAGATGGCGCGCTTCACCCACTGAAGCTCATACATATACCCACTGTCCGTAATGCTGTCTCTTCCAACAAACCCTTTCTCCCATCCATTCACCCTGTACTGTCTATGTGCCCATCCATTCCCCCTTCCCCATATCCCTCCTGTAGCCATTTAATCCCCCTCAAGCCCTTCTCCAGGGCTCCACACCCCAGGAGCTGGTGGCCAGCAGCAATGTGGGAGAGATGGAGATAGGGGGCGAAGTTGTTGTGTGAAGGAGGTCTGGCGTTACTCTGCACCAAGACTTCAGCAAATGGAAAGGGTTCCCCAATACTGCTGCACCAGCTTCCCAGCCCACCAACGCAGCAATGCAGTGGTGAGCCCTGCAAGCACTAATGCTTTGACACAGATATGTAGGTCCTCTAGCACTGCTGCCTGGCTCTTCAACACACCAGGCAGCAACACCATAAGAGTGGAGTGTTGTCTACACCAAGACGTTGACACATCAAAGCACTGGTACACTGAGGAGATAAAGTAGCAGCACTGGGGGAAGACCTTCACGCACTTGGTGTCTTGGCACAGAGATGCTGCAGCTCGAGATTGTGCACACAGTCCTTGTCCCCCCCGTCCCCACTTCATGAGCTCCCCCAACTTAAACCCTCTCCATTCATAAGAGCTAAGTATAATTATCAGTAAAGCAAGTTTGGTATGGAGAGTAACTGTCAAATTCCCAGCATTTCTTGGCCCTTGTGGCTCAGCCCCGTCCTTTAAGGTGAAGGACTGAGCCCACCAGCTCATTTTATGGAGGTTACTAAATAGCGATTGGATAGTGACAATTTTATTGACCCCCTGCCTGTGGCTAGTGACCAGTGATGTGCTTTGGTGCCTGTATACTGTGCTTTAATTCCCTCTGATATTTAATGGGCATTTTAAAATGTGCCGTTCATGAACAGAGAGACTGTTACAAGAGGAAATGTAAAGAATCTGCAGAAATACAGCCCAAAATATCTTTTGCCTGACTTTATGTAAAGGCCAGAGTCCAGTAGATGGCAACCTACTCCTATCACAGGAAGAGCAGTGCTTTAATGGAGAAGGCTGTTGCTTACATCTTGCCTTTTGCTTAGTACAATTCATTTGAAGGGAAAAGGACTAGAATTCATAAGAAACCTTTGTTAGGTTCAGAATCTCAGAAGATGGGAGGCACAAAATTGCAGTTCTAGTTTATTGGAATACTAGTTAGTTTTGTGTTCAAAAAGAAAAGCAAGCTAACTTAATAGTGTGAACTTGCAGTAATCCATTGGGTGTTTAAGTCCAGGACACAACATTTTGCTTTCCTCTTGTTTACAGCTAATCTTTTAATGCATTCTTTAGAAAAGAGAAAATGGCTGGTTCCCTTTTATCCCCCAGTTTCCATGTTTACAATTTCTGAAGGCTAGGGGAAGAAATATTGTGATCTTCAGCTGAATCAAAAGCAAATAAAGGAACAAAAGAATGTTTGCCTCTATACTGCCAAACCCGCCCTGCTAGAGTAATGTGTCAAAGCAGTAATGTGAAAATCTATCTTAGCATTTGGATTCTAAAATGGAAGGTGTTAGAGCTGGTACTATTTATTTTTTTACACACACTATCTGCTATTGCAGAAGAATAGGTTCGTGCTACTAATTTCAAATATGTGAAACTAAGAAGTGATACGAAGGTTGGATGTTTTTAAACCAAATACTAATAGCAGGAAAGGAATATTCTCATCCCTAGTTGAAAATAATTGTGCTGGTAATCTCATACTATTGCTTTAGTATGAGTTTGCATCGTTCTTGTGCTATGTTCAGGCTGCAGGCATGAGTTTGAGAAAAGCACAAAAATATAATAGAAGGAATGATGAAAGAGAATACTATCTCAGGTTAATAACCCAACAGTACGGGCACTGCTAACAATGCAGGAAGACGTCTCCGTGGCCATTAGGTTTTCTGTGTTGTTGTGAAATATGATTTTTTAACTGACTGCTGTCTCCTAGTGGACTGCAGATAGGATGCTTCCTTTAAGTTGCACAGTAGTACATATCTGCATACATGCAAATGCATGAATGGTACTTATTGATGGAGTGAAATGAAGTAAGTTGTATGGAACATTGTACAACATAATTAAAGAAAAAAAACAGCTAAAGCATAATAAACGCAACCTCATAAATATCAAACAAACAAGACCAAACAAAGAGTCAATGCTAAAAAGATTAACAAATATGGAGCTAATGGTAGTCATAAAGGCCCTGATCTAATGCCCTTTGATTTCAGTAGATGTTGAATTGAGCCCCCCAAATATCCTTGGAATAAAAATGTTAAGGTGTTTTTCATGGGAAGAGATGGACTAAGGTGGATTTTAGGTGCAAGAAAGTTCCATGCCCTTGGGCCTACCACATCAAATGCATGGTCATTGGATGATACAAGAGATAAAAATCTCTTATCTGGAAAAAGGAGTGAACAGTGAGGTGGCAAAATTTGCAGATGATACAAAACTACTCAAGACAGTTAAGTCCGAAGGAGACTGCAAAGAGTTACAATGGGATCTCACAAAACTGGGTGACTGGGCAACAAAATGGCAGATGAAATTCAGGGTTGATAAATGCAAAGTAATGCACATTGGAAAACATAAATGCAATTATACGTATAAAATAATGGGGACTAAATTAGCTGTTACCACTCAAGAAAGAGATTTGGAGTCATTGTGGATAGTTCTCTGAAAACATCCACTCAATGTGCAGCAGCAGTCAAAAAAGCTAGCAGAATGTTGGGAATCATTAGGAAAGGGATAGATAATAAAACAGACAATATCATAATGCCTCTGTACACATCCATGATACACCCACACCTTGAATACTGTGTGCAGTTCTGGGTGCCCCATCTTAAAAAGTTATTTTAGAATTTAAAAAAGTACAGAGAAGGGCAACAAAATGATTAGGGGTATGGAACAGCTTCCATACAAGGAGAGGTTAATAAAACTATGATTGTTCAACTTGGAAAAGAGACAAAAGAGACGACTAAGGAGGGATATGATAGAGGTCTATAAAATTATGACTGGTGTAGAGAAAGTAAATAAGGAAGTGTTATTTAGTCCTCATAACACAAGAACTAGGGACCACCAAATGAAATTAATAAACAGCAGGTTTAAAACAAAAGGAAGTATTTCTTCACCCAATGCACAGTCAACCTGTGGAATTCTTTGCCAGAGGATGTTGTGATGGCCAAGACTTCAACAGGGTTAATAAAAGAACTGCATAAATTCATGGAGGATAGGTCCACCAATGGCTATAAGCCAGGATGGGCAGGGATGCAAAACCATGCTCTGAAGTGTCCCTAGGCTCTGTTGCCAGAAACTGAGAATGGACAATGGGGGATGAATCGATGATTGCCTGTTCTGTTCAGTCCCTCTGAAGCACCTGGCATTGGTTACTGCAGACAAGATACTGGGCTAGATGGACCATCGGTCTGACCTAGTATGGTTATTCTTGTGTTCTTAAGATCCCTAAAAGGCAGGTAGTATGATAGCACTTGATGAGGAGCCTTAAATATAGCCAGCTCCTACATTATTTATAGCATTGCTTCCTGGTGCAGCCTCTCCCCATTCCTCCACTTCCAGTGGGTGACACTCCCATTGTGTGAGTCAATTAAAAGTAGACTTAAAAGTGTACTAGATAATATACAGCTGGGAAGATATACATTTATAACTTCTATGGTTATGCACGTTATAAGCTGCAGAGAGTCTTAGTCACCAGTCTTAGAGGATAAAGAGCTGTATGCAATTTTCCTTCATTCTTTGTGGGCTAGAATGTGCTATATGCATGTTTTCACATTATGTGGGTGAATGTACTGTGCATGTTTTCAAGACATGGGGCATGATTCTCCGTATGCAGTCATACGTTTGTACAGAGTGGGTGAACAAAGCCACCAGTCAGAATTCTCTATTTATTTACACTGGTGAGTGTTTAAAACCCACTTTCTCCTCACTTTGTACAAATGACTACCCAAGGTATAAAAGTAGGGAAGAATTAGACATGGTGTATCTTTTGCTGTTTCCTCTCTTCTTGTTATAAAAAAAAAATCACATAATGATATGCTAGAGCTCCATTACTGCTCACAAAAGCTGACACTGGTCTCAATTGTTCCATGGTTTCCACAGCATCTGCTGGCAGAAACCTGGGCACTGGAAGGGCGTCACAGTGGGAGGATTTCACAGTAGTCTGAGGCAATGCAGAATCTGCTCTTCTAAGGATGTTGAAGCTGTCCGGTGCAGTTCAGAAACTGGACAGAGCCAGTCAAATGTGGACCAATTTAATGACCAGGGTATCCAGGTGCTGAGATTACATCACTTTGCATAACAAATGTAAGAAAGAGGAAGCTGATAGCAATGTATATAAATCAGAAGTTAAGAATTGTAGAAAATTGATAAGGGAAGTCTATGGCCAGAAGTGTTAAGGACAATAAGAAGGAATTTTTAAAAAATATATTAGGAACAAGAAGAATCCTGATAGTGGTATAAGTCCATTATTCAGATGGAAATGGCAGAATGATCAATAATAATATAGAAAAGGCAGAGGTGTTCAATAAATATTTCTGTTCTGTATTTGGAGGGGAAAAAAAAGATGATATAGTCCAATCAGATGGTGATGATAACATGCTTTCCATTCTACCAGTGTTACTGGAGGCTGTTAAACAGAAGCTGCTATGTTAGATGTTTTTTAAATCAGCAGGTCCAGATAACTTGCATCCAGGAGTTTTAAAAGGGAGCTTTTAATGGTCTGAGGAGCTGTCTGGACCTTTAATGTTTGATTTTCAG